TCGTCTCGTCAAAGTCTTTATAGTCGTGGCTTTGTGTGAAGTCGGGTTGTAGGATGATTCGTCAAGTAATCTGTCGGTATACGTCGGTTTTCTGTACACTGTCGTTCATAGTTCGTTGTTGTCGCGGCTTACCAAACAGTCTAGAAAAGGAGCTACTAGTCCTCTAATAGCGTAGCCAATTGAAATGCAGGTTTTGCATTAGTCCACTAGTTGGGTGATACTAATAACACTTAGAATCGATAATCTTCTCTTGTCTAAAGATATAGCTTTTTTTTGGTCTAGAGAAAAGACAGAGATTTAAGAGTTAGGCTCCAGGTACACTTTTCAGAATCAATAAGAAAGACGATTCTTAGTTTCTTCCTTGGTCTTCTGTTATCTCGTTATTTTGTTACCTTTTTTTCATCCACGCTTCTTCGCAGTGAATTATCAACAAAACTCGAGGAGAGACTGTTTTTTTTCTCCCCACCCTCTCTCTATTCCTTGCTTAAAAAACTGCAGACTCCAAGGTGATTCACTAGAGATGACAGTTTAAATAGGCCCAACCCCTCGCCTCCCCTCCCCCCCCCCACTCCCCACGTTTGGGCGGGGAAAATATCGCTGATGCAGTGTAAATTATTAGTTTGACAAAATATCTCCTTTCGTGATTTGCCCGAAGTAAGTCAGGTGACAAATATATCTCAGACGCCTTGTCTACCTGTCCTTATTTCCTGCGATCCCAGTACCCCGAGATGAAAAGTGTTTTGATTTCTCCGGAGTTTTGGCCCGATCGTTTTCATTTGAAACGTTCGCTCTACCTTCCGTGGAAAACAAAATAAGGAGAGAAAGAAAAACGTGAAACATAGATCTACTTCAAACCATTTACTATAGATCTACTGTATCAGCTTAAGGAACAATTTGATCTTTTTCATGATAAAATCTGGAAGTATACATGATTCTACTTCCTGCAAGGCAGCGTTCACGAAGCCATGACCATATCTTCACTAGTTCTAACTTAGTTCTCGTATCCGGTGATCATTTGATTCTCTGCAATACAAATAAGTCTATATCCATTTACAAAAAGAAGTTCGCGCGATAATTAAATCCTGCCTTGAAGCTATTATAGCTACGCAGGCCTTGCGAAACTGACCGTGCGGTTATAGCGCGACAGTAATTCTCGCGCGTGTATCAAGTTCATTGTGACGTCAAAAACCTCAGCTGTGTTTCCACGGTGTTTCCACATATGGCAAGGTCCCAAAGCTGCACAAATGGACCGGGGAGATCAAGGGATTGCGGCGCTTGCAAAATCATTGGCAACAAGACTCCTCGGTACAGTGGTGGGACATTTCAGTGGCAGACAAAACAAAGCAGACGAAGAAACAGACTTCCTTTTAGGGAAACTCGCGCAAAACAACAGCGCTGTCTTTCCATACCTCACCGACCTGACAGACCTGACTCTGCGAGACCTATCAGAAATAAAAACTCGCAAAGGTTTTACATTAAAGGATGGACTGCGCCGTGCAATTCTCAACAAAGACAAAGCAGGAATCATTGCTGGGGACGAAGAGTGCTTTGTGTTATTTCAAGGCGTGTTCGAACCTCTGATAAAAGAAATTCACGAGATTAGCACGAATCATTTGCCGATCTCGAGCCTTAAAACAGACGCCCTGGACAGAACTGTGTTTGATGGACAGTGCGTGCTCTCCTGCAGAATCCGTGCTCTCAGGTCCTTGAAAGGTTTTCCATTCTCTTGGTTTTGTACCACTGAAGAAAGATTATCCATTCAGATTATCGTGGTTGACGTTTTGGAAAAGCTACAAGGTGTGTTTACACTGCGGTGAAAATCACAATGCGTTCACACTAGGTTAAAACATTTCTTTTAGTCTGATCACGAACGAAACATGCTCCACTCATTAGACGTTACCTTGCGCCAATCTTCAGAAAGAACAAATAGGTTTGTCAAATTAAGTTATAGCAGAGAATAGTAAAATGTAACAGTAATTCCAAGCTGTTTTTTTTTTGGTTTAACAATAACACGTGTTTGGAAACGAACAACTTACGTGAATAATGCAATTACAAACAGATTCCGTTAGAAGAACCAAGTCATTCTCTTACTAAGTATAATCTCTTGTTATAGACATATTTTCAATAATACCCTTGGACACGTTCTAGTGCAAGCTTTCTTATATTCTACGCCCAAGAAGAAGGGATCTTTAGCAACAAGTTCAAACCGAAAACAGAAGAAATAGATCGGGGACTTGGACTCACTGGATAAGTTGTCAACACACGAATCCTCTTTACTAGTTGTTTTGAGTTCTTTATCGTTATATTTGGAGAATTTTTACTCTGATCGTTTCTCTCAGGGGCTTCGGGGTTTTAAGGAAGGTTAACTGTGATTTTCATTCGAGTGTCGAAAAGTAATTGGATTGGCGTCACTTCGCTACACGATTGCTGCCCGATTGGCTTAAAAAACTCGCGCCACTTTCTCATCCAATCAGAGGTAAAACCAAAACCTCGCACGCGTTTTCCCGCATTATGGATCATGTAATCATGACTTCGAGCTTTGATTGGTTCACTGTATTTTCTGTGTCCTCTGTGATAGGCTGGAGCGATTACTTTGGCTTTGGTTTTACGACACTCAATTGAAAACTGCTCTAACCTTGAAAGTGTTGCGTTTTGTTTCTCCCTAAAAGGTGATCTCCACGGCGAATTCATTCCACTAAATCAGCTAGCAGACAAGAATCTTAACAAAATGTTACAGAGCCATCGCGTATTCTTGAAACAGAGATGCCCCTTGAACCGAGCTTGGAAAGAAGGGAGAGGAATATGGCACGATCGAACAAATAATTTGTTGATTTTAATAAATGAAGAAGAACACATCAAGATTATCTCTCACCAGTCTGGAGATGACTTATTCCACCTGTTTGAGAAACTTGGTCATTTGCTTCTTGAAATTGAAAGCCTGTTGATGAGGAATGGGTACGAGTTCATGCGCAGTGTTAACTATGGTTACCTGGCGTCCGGACTCCAAGAACTTGGCACCAGTCTTCGTGTCAGCGTCACTGTTTATCTCCCTCTTATAGCAAAAGTAGGTAGACATTTTATTAGGTCTTGTAGTATGACCCGAAGGTTAGGGGTGGGGAGCATTTGAACACCATTTTTGCCCCGGGGAGGAATATGATCAACTGAAGATTCAAAATGACTAATGCCCAGGGGGTTTCCCGGAGGGGATGTTAAGGTATAGAACTGACTGGTATATTACTTTCATTGCCTCTGTGTGGACGTTTAAACACTGTTCTCGTGACCTATCTTGTCTTGAAATTATCTGTTTTTCTGATTGTTCTTCCAATAATCTGTCTTTCACACTTCGTCATTTGGGTTTCCACAGGACACCAGGCTCCAATTTATCTTGAAGCGCTTGGGTTTGCAGAGGAGAAAGTCAGGTTAGGGACCAGTTCCTTGTATAAAGTAAAAAAAAGAGAAACAACTGCACTGGTCGTGCGTTTACAAATCTAAACTGTGAGGAAAATGAAGTATGTTATGTTCTGTTTTTATATGTACTGCAGGTAGAAAGAACTCGCAGTCGTGGCTGGTATTCAAGCAAATAGAAAATGAACTGAACATTCTTTCTATTTTCTATTCTTGTCTTTTTCCATACAGGGATCCATTTTCCAAACGCTGAGACGCGTCGTGGTATAATATTTGAAGTCTCGAACACTGGAAAGATTGGATTGAGTGAAGTAAGCTCATGAACTACGCATAGTTTATTACAGCAGTGAAGTCCTAATTTCGTTTAAAGTCCACTCGAAAGGACCAGAAACAAACTGAATGGCGCTGCGTGGGTCTCTCTCGTCCGCAAAGGTTTCTAAAGAATATCTATATACTAGAAATGATGAAAACGAGGAGAATGACAGTGAAGCTAGGGAAGAATGACTGCCATCAATCGATATTTCCCTCCTCCTAAACTCAACCTCCAGATAATCCGCGGCCCAGAAAGCGACTTCTGAAAAAAACGTTGAAAAGCGTAGTACTCACTCAACTGAAGTCACTTAATCATCTTTATTTTCCTGTAATATTACGTTTGTTCCGAGAAATAACTTCAAAATCTAAAACCATCAATCATTACCTGGAATGTCACAACTTTTACACAACTTTTCATTCTACCGTTTTGATATCATCATTTTGATATCACCTGATGTCACGTTATGTCATGTCACCCCAAGCAAGAGACTATGATCTACAGCCTCTTACATCATGTCACGACACGCGCACAAGTCATGTCACATCGTGTGTGAAATGTTGCAATGTGACGTATGCAATACAATAATTGTGTAACGTTATTTAGTGCAGTGTGGTGTAGCGTTGTATAGTATAGTATGGCGTGGTGTTACAAGATATTGTTTCCAAATCAATCCTATTTTTATCGATTTTATGTCAGGTGGATCTCATTCAACACGTCGTCACAAGTGTGAATCATCTCACTCAAATGGAAGAAATTCTGGCAAACCATCGTCACATGGACTCGTTTATCACCAAGATCGTTAAAAAGACGCAAAACATGAAGAATGAGAGAAATGACTGACTTTGCCTTCGTAGCATCAGCTCCAGTTAGACCAGTCCAGGAAAACTAGAGTTGCAGACTGGATGGCTGCTATTGGCTGTTACCATCAATCCGCTTCATAAAACACGTGGCGGATTTTTTTCAAGTCCGAGGGCTTTATATCTCATGATATCTATTAACAAATATCATTCACTTTGAAAAGAATTAACACTTTCTATCATCATCATCATCATCATCATCATCATCATCATCGTTGTCGTCGTCGTCGTCGTCATCCTCATCATCAACACAATGATAGTTTGACAATGGTGGTTTGAAGGTAAAGAGAGTTGGTATCAACACCCAAAGTAAGAAGACTGTGATGCTGGAATCTCGTAAAATCGTTGTGGTCACGAAACAAGCACTTGAAAATACAAGAAATGCAGATGTTTCATGGCAATGATAGACTTTTTCCTATGTAAAGCGCACCTAGGACCAACGATTCAAAAAAAACTTGTGGCTGATATTGAAAGGATTAACTGATTATCTTTTAGATGTGGCTTCTGTATGTCTCGTGGCGTATGATAAACCACCGGTATTCTTTTTAAATAAATACAATATGAATGAAAAACCAAGGAAGGTTTCAGAAAATTTCGATACCAAGTATAACTTGGAAGGAATTGAAAAACTGAGACGAATTTGAAACAATCGCCACAGCGGTGCTCATATTACTCTCGTATCCAGATCACTCATCGCCAGGTGACAGAAGAAATCCCTCTCNCCTTTTAATAAGGGAAATCTTAACTCAACGTAAGCTTGTATAAATTTCCCTTACCAGCGTTCCCCAGTACTTTCACGCTGAGTCTTAGTACAAGAACAGTTATCATTATAACATAGTAGGCCCCCCCCCCCCCCCCCCCCACCCCTTTTTCAGAGAAATTATAAGATCTGATTAAAGGATTATTTTTCGTGGCTTTATGCAAGACACCAAGGAGAAAGAGACATTTTGAATTGTTCTGTAGGAGGTCTAAATTTTGGAATACGGGCAACTAAGCAGAGTCACCCATGAAAAAAATAGAAAAAAAGAAAGAAAAACGAACTAAAAGGCTCGATATTCGATCAATACAAATCTCACGCTAATGAGATAACGTCTGACATACTGGAATCTAAATTTAGAATGTTTATAGTTTTCGTGAAGCAGTCAATAACAGATGATCTATGACCGCTACTGGAAGCAAACGGCATCGTCTCATCATAAATACTCAGTTTGAAAGGGCATATTTCAGACACTCGGGCTCAGACACAGCTTGTGGCAGGTGGACTTCAACAACCACGGGCAAGCTGAAAATTTTTGATGTGGTTTATTTTTCATTTTGCTGATTGCTGCCATCAATTTTGTAACTGCGTAAGAGAAAAGTCATTAGTAAAGGTTATAGGTCGTTATAACTTTGAGTGCTTGGAAAGTACTTGAAACAGAAGTGGGCGGCGTGAGGAAATCACTTGTCATTGCATTACGAGAAACAAATCAAATTCTTCAACATCTTCAGCGATTGAAAACACCCTGTGGCATACGTAACGAGAAAAACAAGCGAAACAAAGCGTGCTTACGAAACAAAAGCGGTTAGAATATTGGGTTTTGAATGATAAGCGTTCTATATATAACGCTCCCTTTGAAAACCAACGGAGTGTGAATCGAGGTAACAAGCCCACCCGCATCTAAAGAATGACATAAATAAGCAGACTATGTATTTTTTTTACCTTGTCCAGAAAGTTCTAAACAAAACAAAGTGAAATCAGCCGCGAGATTTGGCTGCAGGTCCTGTGACTGATACGTAAAGCGTGGCTTGCAGGACGAAGTAAGCGCTTGAGTTTTAAGAAAACACGGCTTGGAAACCAAAGTTGGTCGTTTCTTTGTAGCAGTTTCGCCAGCTATGGACTCTTTGCCTTCAAATGCATGTCTGCTACAGAATGTTACGATCGATTCATCAACGAATTTATCGTCATCCGATAAAATAGAGAGAGCCTTCAAAACTCTCTTCCTTGTGCTTATCGCCGTGGCAAATATTACGGGCAACTCTAGTATCTGTTTGGTTGTTCTCAAAGACAGACATCTGCGCGTTACGGTACGGAATTACGCGGTGGCGAGTTTAGCCTTGGTAGACTTGCTCTCCGTTCAAATCATGATTTTCCAAGTTTTAACTTATTTCAACATTGGTAAAGAAGCCTTCATGTGTAGCCTTATGGGCAGGATATTTGGCTGTCTTTTATACATCAGCATCTTGCACTTATTTACTTTAAGCCTGGATAGATATGTGGCCATATTTTACCCCTTACGCTACCGGTTTATGGTTACGCCGAGACGGGCAGCTGTTGTTTTGTTAACAATCTGGATTGTTCCAATCTTTTCCATTCTCTTCCTTCCGGCAATAAAGCTCGATCTACACGGCTATGCAAGCTTCTACGGGTGCATGGACGAAAGCTTGATAGAAATCACAGACAAAAAGAATCATATTCACATGGGTTTAAATGTAACGTTTCTGTTCTTTCTTCCTCTTCTCGTGATGATGTGGGCTTATTGTCGGATCAGTAAAGTTGCTTGGTACCAGGCCAACCGAGTGGGTGTCGCTGTGATTTCTGCAGTAAGGCTGCCTCTAGGCGGCAGACTCCCGAGAGCAAGAGATAGAAAATGGGCTAAAACACTTGGTAAGTTGATATCGTAACTATGCATTAGAAGCTTAGATGATTTTTTTGACACATAAAACGCTATAAAATTAACAGACACGTCTAAAACAGAACACTGTTGATACTGGCTTACCTGGGTAAACTGCGTCATTCGAGTGATATACTAGTAAACAAGCGTGGCGCAAATTATATTTATCAACTGTGATTATCTAACCAATATTACAACATCTGCCCTCACTCTAGCAGCTCATGATCATAAGGGGGAATTTGTTCTGATTACGAAAACGTACATTAATGTCGTGGAAAAGAAAAATGATGACCCCTATATTTTTTCAAAAAGATTAGAAAATTTTTTTCTATTTTCTATTGAGGTAGAGAAGCGCGCACCTCTGCCTCTAAATGGATTTTTATGATTAGCTACGAGTTTCTTAGAGCTAGCATTAAACAAATGGATCAGAATTAATTTGGAGAATTGATTAATATATCAAGTTTGGGACTGAATCGAATCATGACCCTGAACTCTTCTGCCTAGCGCTTGTGTAAAATTTGCTTAGCACACTGGAAAACTAGAAAATCGGCTTTACCAGTTGTAATCCACGGAAGGTGTATACAAAGATTCGATAGACAAAAATTGTTTGTCTTCGTATTCACGTCCCGTACGTACGATTTAGAACAATTTTGATGTATCTTTTCATGCTTTATAGATTTCAGTCACTCTAAGAACTGTGCGGCGGATCACTTACGCCACAAACTCCTGGCGTATTCAGATCGCCGTAATCTATAAACGCTCCGTCAGTCCAACAAAAGGAGCCTCGTTTTATGCAAAGTTTTCTTTTGAAAACAGCGGTCTGTTTCAGACAAACCACTGGGTGACATTGTTTTAATTGAACTTGAACTTGGAATGAAATCTTCCGAGAGTAGTTCAGTGTAATAAACAAACTTAGGCTCCGCCCACACTACGGCCGAGAGATTTGACGGAGTCCCAACTTTATTTTTACGGTTAGGCCTACCGTACACACTAATCTGTCACGAAAACGGAGCTTTTCGAAAACGCTCTTCAAACCGGAGGAGTTTGAAAACCCCAACTTTGCGTTTTTGTGTGGACAAAAAACATTTTTAAAACGGAGCTTTTCAAAAACGATGACGATAATCATGTGATTTCCCTGACTGAGTTTTCCTCAAACACAAATCCAAAATGACCGGTGATTGTTGCGTTTTTAAATTCCTCTGGCGTAGTGTGCATTAGTGTCAGGTTATCCTCTAAACTTGTGTTTTATGCGCGTTTAAAAATGAGAATTGTACCTTGTATTTGGAGCTAAGGCATGGAACAAAGATCTCAATGTCGTCAAAGTAAGGAATTAAACTCCACTAAGTTGAGTGTCGTTCTGAGTTTGTATGAAATTTCTACTGCGAGTCTCCCATTGAGAAATCAATTTTAAGGACCTTTAAGAGAATTACGCTAAGGCTACAAAAAAAAAAAAAAAGATTTAAAGTAATATTAAACAAGTTAAAATCGTTTCATTTCGCAATTTACTGATATTGTTACAGCGGCAATGTAGATGACTAAGCATTAACTGAAACAATTTAATTATTTCATATTGTAACACCACATTTTAGATGACGTTATAGCAGCTGGAGAGCTACACCAGTATAGCAATGTCGGCCCTTGAGTGTGTTGAGGAGTCCGCCTTGGTCGAGATTTTTAATTTGACCCCCTTGAGACAATTCAAGGACCTCGACTGGAGAATCTTTACGGTTTTTACCAATTTGTCAAGTTATACTCTCCAAGAATACTTTGACCTATTGCAGGTCCTACTTGTTCAACAAACTCTAACAAATTTTGTATGACAATGGTGAATGAATAGTTAACGGTTTTTTGATTTTTTGTTGTTGCTCGTCAAAGATACAGCAGAAGTGGATTGGTTAAAGGAGCTACGTTATGGTTTCGCATCTTGAAAAGTTTAGCCTAAATTTTTCAAGTTCGTCGTTTGTAATCCGTGCCAATCTTCTCCATCCTTGCTTCTTTTTGATTCATTGTTATCTCTATGTTTTTTTTCCTACCTTAGTAAATAACTTTTTTCAGGTTCCCTTCAGTTAATTAAAGGTCATTTTGTTCATGGCCAAAATAACTCAAAATGCCGTAACTAAGTTCCTTTAATGAGACACGAAATTAACATCAAATACTTAGCTGTACAGCTTGAACAGCAATTGATAGAAAAAGGTTACTTACTCTCTTATATTTCCTTTTCTTACAGCGATCGTGATTGGTGCATTTCTGGGCTGCTATCTACCAATAGTTGTGGCATCGTTGGTGCACATTTACAGTGAAGAGACATCGTTTCGCTCCTTGGGAAAGGTTTTAGAGATTTTATTGTTCCTTACTTTTTTAAACACTGTTTTAAACCCCATGATTTACTCTCTTCGGAGCAACGATTACAGGAAAGCCTTCAAAAGGATATTTGGAACACACACTCAAGAGTCAAATAGCGATCGTCGCCTACGTCTGAATTATGCCACACAAGAACTGGAGAGTCTAACAGTGTCTAGTCTGGTGACATCATCTCACGCGAACACTTCATGAAACTCCATTTTAATACAGTGAGCTCTCTCAGATAAAGATAGACACCTTCGGGAGTGGCTCTAGTTGTTTACCTTGGAGAGTTGTCCGCAGTAAAAGAATTAACTCGCAAATAAATAAGTGAGACCAGCGAGACGTACCACAACCATGTCCCGTTGGGGGAGGTGTCCGTCTTTGATTAAGAGAGCTAACTGGAGCGCCATGAAATGCAGTGGACCACGTTACAATTTTTACAACCCTCTAGTGGCGGAAGGTGAACATTACAGTTGTTACATCATACGTATGATGAATCTAGCTCTATAAAAACAGTTAAATTAAATTCGAGAAAGACAACAGTGAGTGGTATGACGCAGTGGAAAAGGAGTTTTTCTGTGACTGTCATAAAAACCTTTTTCTACACTAAATCAAGAACATGCATTGTAAAAATTGCTAAATTAAAAAAATTAGCACCATCAGCAGGGCCCAGCTATTGTGTACTGAGATAGAAAAGAAAAACTTGTGATGTTTTCAAAAAAAAATGCATGGTAAAGAAATAAAAGTTTATATCAATAAATTTATCGACACGGACATTGGATGGAACTGGAATGGAGACTGACTTTTTGCCTTTGCCAATCATTGTGACGCGAAAGAAAATGCGCGGCGCGAAAGAAAACGCGAGAGGCTGCGCGTAGTAAATGTAAACAAAAACTGAGTCATGCGAATGGCCCTTACTGAATTCCTGCAGTGATGCGATTTAGCGCCCTAGGCCCACTGCCAATAAGCGCGCCCTTTCTAATGTGCGCTCTCCTTTAAGTATCGTTTTCTTAAGTGCCCCAATTCTATTTAGCTCACCATCATAAAAGTGACATTGAATACCTGGAGTAGAATGATTAAACAAGTAAACTTTACAGTCTTCTTCCTCAGCTGAACGTAATATTGGACATACTGGCTTGGAATAAACAATAAAATGATGTCATGACTATCACAGTACAATGCTTAACGCCAAGAAACATTCCGGTAGTTGGGGTCTTAGTTAACGCCCTTACTATTGATAAGCCATCTCTCTGGAGAAACCAAAACCAAATTAGCAACCAGGGAACAGGTTCACGAAGGCCTTTTAGATAAAGATGTCTTGTAAGTATTGTTCAAATACAAAAGCCTAATGCTTATAGAAAATGATGCTCAAGATTCATCTTAACTAGGAGCGCTTCATGAATCTAGTCAGGGTGCTAAATAGCCTGCGAACGGAGACTTATTTCCGGCTAATAGACAAAGTTAAATTCTTTTAATTTACTCAGGCATCGGATTGCGCAAAACAATTTTGTGCTTGAACAATTTTCTGACGTTTCTCGACCCCAGTCTCGACTGGTCATGGTTACAAAATATTTATCCCGTTCCCATTTTGGACATTTTTTTCTCCATTTCCAGTGACTTAAAGGAGCTCAGCCACGGTGTTTTGTCTTTTTTTTTTGGCCACGTACAAAATCTCCCTTAAATGGAAGGAAACCTGAAAATAATAGTTTACTAAGATAGGAAAACATCAAAGAGATAATAATAAACCATAAAGGAACAAGGATGGTCAAGGATGGCGAAGATTGACACGGATTGCAANTAACAGCCTAATTACCCCACCGCGCAAACTCGATTCCAGTGTCTACTCGTCCATTCAGTTTTTGCCACGACAAGAGGCGAAGCAGGTGAAGTAGTTAGCAGTCCTAAAATGAAAGTTCGAATCGCCGATGAACTCCCAATTGTGCCACTTGGGAGTGGAAATTTGACGGGGAAGGTTTTAGTTTCACTTGAAGATAACGCAGGGTTTAGCATGTACGAATTTCACGCTAAACCTGGCGATGAAGTGACGCTGGCGGCATTTCACCCAAATCACAATCACATCTACTATTGTGCCGAAGGTATGTGGTCTTGTTAACTATGATTCAGTGTTCCAAGGCTTAGGATAAACAGATCGTTTATTTACTGTACGAGTTAGTGAAATTCTTTTGGAACTTAACGGTGCAAATGACTGAAACGTTCGATATGCTAATGGCGACGAAAATTTTCATTGCAATCAGTCAAACGTAACGCAAACCTACTTGTCACGCAACTACTTGTTGGCTAACCTTGTTCCCAAGGTATTTCATCAACCCCCTCTCTTGCTCCAGGCTCCCGGAGTCGGGAAGATGAGAGACCCTGGGAAGGAGGTTAATTATTGGCGGCAAATTATTCTTAAAATGTCGGTCTAAATCAGAGGATAAAGGTAAAGCATAAAACAACGAATTAGAAACAGTAAGGATTTTAGACAAAATAGGATTTGTTGAGAAAAGGGCAGACAGGTAGTGAATGTAATATGAAGTGAAAGTACAGTTTAATTACATAAACAGTACAGTGGAGCTCTTCCTTATGGCCACTTTATTCTGGTCTGAACAAGAGCTCAGTCAGTCATTTTCTTAATTAAAGAACCCCTTTAATACGGATTAACAGGTTTCCACAGTAGCTGCTTTAATTTTCAAGCAGGAATCACATTATAAAGTAACC